GACAGTTTCCCGGTTTTTCTGAAAACAAATGAGAAAAATTACTCACACTGCTGTATTGTTTTACTTTCCTGGTCATTCAAATGGCTAAGGTCCAATTCAGGTGTCTCCCCCGGTTCCACCACCCTCTGGTCCATCTCCAGCACCACGGAACTATCTTGAAAATTTAATTTGGCCCTCGCGGCCCTTAAAAGTCCATACCTAAAATAAGAGAGTGTTGGAGGTGTTTCACCACAAAAATTAATACTTTGAGATTTTCCTCTTTTACCTGTACGTGAATGATACTTTCCCGATGCAGTGACATGTTTTTCCTTGCGCCGCTATATTTCCGTATTTCTGGTTTTAAAGAGTCGTATCCTATAAAAATTCTTTTTGAAGAACTTTTCACTCATGAAATTTCCTTCTGCCCCTGTATCGATGAGGGCTTCTACTGGTACATCGCCAACCAGGACTTGTATAATTGGTAGCTGTGAGTTTTTTACGATGACTCTATTTAAATGTCTATTTGAGGGTTTTTCTAAAACTTCCGGGGTCTGGACCCTCCCTTTCACAGGCCCCTCTAGTCGTTTAAAGCTTTCCTTTCAATCTGTGTCTTCTGGGTACGCGGATGCTTATTTTCAAATTTTCTTTTTGGGCCTTGACCTTCAAGTTTCGATGCGTTAGCTTGATAGTTCTTTCCCCCATACGAGCGATTTCCATTTCTGGTTTCCTCCTTCCTTCTGGTACTTTGAAAATATGTTTCCCCTCTCTCTTTCGCTATTCTGCGATTTTGAAATTTCACCGCCAATTCGAAAAGTTCCTGCAATGTGTTTGGGTTTCTAATTTCAAAGTAGTCTTGGACAGCGGGTAACAATCTTGGTAATATTATTTCAATTATCTCCGCATCGGGTTGTTTTTTTCCCATACAACATATCCGTTAGTTTGATTTTTCGTAAATAAAGTCCGTCAATTGTGCTGTATCCCGTTGATAGAAACTATATAGCTCGGCTTCCAGCCTGCGCGATCTTTCACTATGGGGAAGGCCTTACTAACGATTTTTTGAAATTTTCAAATGTATACGTCGGGCTTCCAATTACCTAGTAGAAATTTTCCTATATTTTTCCACATAGCGCGCCTGTCCTCTTAGTGCTGATGGCGATGGCAACTTTTTGTCTTTCAGGCAAAAGGATAGAGCTGAAAGTGGTTTTCTATACCTCTAAAATACGGACACCGAATTTTTTCCTTCGAAATAGACGTTTGGCTTGATTGATGCTCTCAAAGTCGGACCAGTATCCAAATCCTTCTAACTGCGTTGTCATTTCTGGTGTTGTCCAGCGGCTTCCATCCAGTTTTCGGCATTTCAGTTCGATAAGTGTTCGGGCGCCAATATAACGTTGCGGCCTCTAACTTGCACGCAACAAGAGGTGACTGTGAAAGCTGTATAAACCACAGAGTCTTATAAAAGGGTTTAAGTAAGTCCTTTTTATTCAACGTAATAAATTACAATGGCGTCCTCTTGACGCTTACAGACTGTGCCCACTAGGCAGTCAAATAAAATAAATAACCTGAAAAAGAAAGTAAAGACAAGATTCTAACTACGAGGCTCTCTAAAATAACTAACTCACCGCGTTTTACAAATACCGCAGCTAAATTCAAGACTTGAAGCTCCTGGACAATTGCAACTACTTGCAACTACTTCCCGCCAAGCACATAGGCCGCAACGCGGGGTTCTCAATTCTCGATAACTACCTCGCACTCGCTAAGTAAGAATAACTCTCACCGAACTCGTTTCCTTCTATTTAAATCATACTACTTCCGCTGATAATTTGAATGCTTGCGCGTTCTACTCAAATTTACATTCTGGCATTGGCAGTTTCCAGGGGAAAGTAAGCTTGACAGGAAAGATAGTTTAAACTTAAAATAAATGTTAGTTAAAATAAATATAAACCCTACAAAACTTATTTATGCAAATTTGTCTTGCGAACGCCAAGTACTTAAGTTGTGGCTTTTGCCAAGCAGAGAGAGGGAAGGAGTTACTAGAAGCAGGCCGCTTGCCATAGCAGTTTTACTCGGTTGCTGGTTGCCTTCAAGGCCAGAGGTTTAATCCTCTTGATAATTTTAAACGTATCGTAGTGTTCACAGTTCTCTGTACTACATACGGCTTCCTGTTAATATAAGGCCAATCTTCCACGTTTATTATTTTAAAGTTAAATTAGAGTTTAGTTTTATTTTTATATTTTTACGTTAGACCACAAGTAGCGGGTCTGTGTATTCCGAAGTCCGGAAATCATTGTAAAGAGAGAAAAATAAAGGGTTTCGTATACCCTTCCTGTGTGTATTGTCTACTTCCCACATTTATTGAACATAGCTTTAGTAAGCTCCCTGTTCCGAGTGAGGACATTTAATGTTCCCAAAGCAAGTAAAGAGGAACACAGAACCTGATAAGTTTTGTGTCAAATTGAATAAAACCTCGAGTGAGACATCATCAAGTTTGCTTATGGGAGTGATGCCATGGGCACAAATGAGTTTTGGGTGGCACAAATTGTTTCTGGGGGAAAGAGAGCAAGTTGAAGATAAGTGACGAGTGCGTAAGACTTTCAATAGGAAAGGTGGTTACTGTAGGTAACCACCGCCCTTCAAAGAGTTAACTCAAAATAGAAAATATAAAGTAATCTAATACTAAATGAAATTGATCAGCCACAGAATCAATTGTAATTCGCCCTTCTTTAAGGATCACCGGCATATACTATTAGGCAGGTATTAGGTACGGCGGTAGAATAGCGAGCTTAAACTAATAGCAACAAGGCAGAACACGCTGTTCTATGGAAGTAATCCAGACCTCACCTTAAATACTTGTTTCTACCTTATTTGCATAAATCATAATACTGAAAACTCATTCTTGCGGTGTAACGAGGGTATGAAACTACAGGGTAAAGGAAGGGCTTGTTCCAAAATTAACTGTTAGAGAAATAAAATAAAACACTACAAAGTTATTAAAGCTCATATGTTAATTTACTTACGATAAGTCGTTGCTGACTTCCGTGGGTGCTCAAGAGTTGTAGCCAAATACTGCTGCAGTCTCAGCAAAAAGTAATTAATGCCTGTCTTGCTGATGGTTCCATCTTTCACGATCAAGAAGTGAGAGTGGTCAGGATTCAAATCGAATTTCTGCTCTTCGATCTTGTTGCCTTCATTCTCGATTTCGATTCGCTGTGTCTGAAGATAGAATCGTTACTTTATTACACACTAGATAAAACAATAAAGTATAAAAATCTTCCGCAGCGTCTAAAACAGCTTAATTTAAAGACTCGATATTTTATTAAGATGCAATTTACAGCTAAAAATAAAATATAACGAATGTAGTATATCTTTATGTGTTGGGTTTAGGAAGGCAAAAACTAAAAATATAGTAAAACACTGCATTTCCTGAAGAAAGAATGCCTCTAAGGATTTTTTTCTACAACGCTTACTTTCAAATTTCATATTTACGTTAACCAAATATTTTTTACATAAATAAAATATTTTAAATAAAATTTAAAAGTTTCTAAAGCAGTTTGGGAAATGCATGGCTTTTAGAACTTAGCTGTTCTATATTAAACAAGATTTAAAATTTATAGAAGATATATTATTTTTTATATATAATGTAGAACAAGAACAAACCATGGAAAATTATTGTATACAGGGTGTTTATAAAGTTCCGGACCCATTTTAATGTTTAATAACTCATAAAATAATAAAGATAGATTAAAATTAATAACATAAATGATTAGATAGACTCAAAAAGTTTCATGACCCTTGTCAATGAACTTCCACGTGTGCCCCCTTCGTCGCACGGAGAATATCAAGTCGATATTCAATTTCACGCCAGGTACCGGCAAGCATATCGGCATTCACAGTGGTTATTGCGGTTATCATTCTGGCTTTTAGGTCATAAATATTCGACACTCTCCTCCTGTAAACGTTGCTCTTTACAAATCCCCAAAGGAAAAAGTCCAGCAGCATTATATCAGGTGATCTGGGTGGCCAATCAATTGGACCTCCTCACCCAATCCATCTTCCTGTAAAATGGTCATTCAAAGAACTGCGAACGATGGTACTGTAATGAGGAGGTGCACCATCTTGTTGCAAAAACGACATGTGGCTGAAGCTCTTCTAGTTGTGGAAATACGAAGTTTTCCAACACGTCTAAATATACGACTAATGAGACCGTCTTTTCTGTAAAAAAGAAAGGCCCAATGACACGGTCGTGCATTAGTCCACACCACAAATTAACCTTTGAGGAATCCCTTTGTGCATCACGGTATTCATAGGGGTTTTCAGATCCCCATATGCGCATATTATGGCGATTAACAATGCCAGAAAGAGAGAAAGAAGCAAAAGAGAGAAAAATGCAATTAATAAGCAGACGATATTTAGAAAAGTACAGATATTTAGACTGGAAAATGAAATTATCTGAAATGAACCACACGCGCAGACAATATTTACAAAAGTAAAGATATTCAAACCTGAAAATAAAAATATATAAGTTATTCCATCAATAAATGCCATAAGTTCGTTTTATATCTTTATTATTTTATGAGGTTTTAAACATCAAAATGGGTCCGAGACTTTATAAACACTCTGTATTACAATTATGTTAATCTATATGTATGTAAAGAAGAAAGTTTGTGTATTCGTCCTCTAATAACTCAATCACTACTATAGCTATCGTATAGTCGCCAAACGTTCTACGATTCTTTCCTGGGTCCTGAAAAAGGTCAACGTCCACATTCTTCAAAAAAAAAAAAAAAAAAAAAAAAAAACTGAAATTTTTCAGATTTTAAATTACTTCCAAAGGGGCGTTTTTTTTTAACGTTTTGAGTGTTACCTTATTTATTAAATATCCATGTTCTTCGCACTTAAACCATAAAATTCAGCTTAAGATTGTTGCTTAATTAAGAGCAATATCGCAAAATAATGTTTAAACTGAGCCTATGCTTTAGAATTTCCGATATACAGAGTCTCGCTCGCTGGAGATAAAAGTATTTTTTTTTCTATACAACGTTGTTGCCATTGCTCGCTTTGGAAATCATTGAGGTCTTTTAAAAATCAAAAATTCGTTAAAGTTTTACAAAACATAAAATTCATAATAAAACAAATTCCAAATTTGGGATTTCAGATGCCCATATTCGCAGTAGGATTTCGTCATTCAAAATTCGATGGCTCTATGTACCATTGTTTTATCACAATGCGAGAAATAGACAATCATTTATGCAGATTTTTCATTATTTAATTTCTTCAAATGTAATGCAGGACTCTAACATTTTGTGGCAACAGTTTGAAAAGTGAACCGACGTTTATAGGAGTCCGACGCAAAATCGCCAAACGAAAACAATAGTCCTTCAGGGACAAAGCCCCTTTGGACTAAAAAAAAAAGCTAAAATCAAAGATATTAAATAAAAACTCGGAAAAATCATAATTTTCTCCCTCATTTTCCCAGTGGCAACAGTTTCGCAAGCTAGAGATGAAAATCAGCTTTATTTCGAAAGTTGTTGCCACTGTTCGCTTTCAAATCCTAGAGTTTATTAATAAAAAAGTTCTAAGTTTTAGGATGAAATAAAAATAGCACTGCCAAACATTAAATACATTACTTCCGATTCCAAAAATTCGTAGGAAGCCATTTCTGCTAGTCCCATCTTCGTACGACTTCAGCCGTATATATTTCTATCGTCTAAATTTCAGCCGTCTAAATATATGCTTACGCATACATTTTCAAACTCTGAAAGCGCTAATTTTCCCACTCATTTTTCCGAGTGGCAACAGTCTCGCGTGTAGATAAAAATGCTTTATTTCGAAAAGTGTTGCGCGCTTCAAATCGTAGAGTATGTTAATAAAAAATTTGGAAGTTGTAGAAAATCTATACATATAAAGAGGAATGTCCGTTATGTTTGTTCGCGTTATTGATTTACGATCAATTATGATCCATTTTTACCATATTTATTTGACGAAAATTTAATATAGGTGACATAATGGATGGAACTCGAGCTTTTACGATCATTTGATTAGAAAGACGAAAATCATTAAAAACTGCGTGCCATTGTTGCTGATATAATGAGAGAAAGAATTAGCTTATTTTTGTATCGATATTTTTTATGTGGGTTCTAAAACCGCGTCAGACTGAAAAATGTATGACTGTGAATCAGGAAGAACACGTTAATACAATAAATCAACAAAATTCAACAGACTACACGAGCGGAAAATATTTAAGGAGGGAAAAAAAGTACTTTTCCATCGAAAGCGTCGCCGTGATTGAGTAGGTCATCTCTGGCCACTCCCACTAACACAATCCTGGAATTAGGATCTGAACTTGCTAAGTGGTGTTTCTGAAAGTGTCTCTTGGAATTTCGTCGTTGCATTTCTTCTTGTACAGCATCACCAATTATTTTACTAACGCCTATGTTGATGCCGTTGGTCAAAATCCACATTTCCGTGGTGTTGGTTGCCTGTTCAAGAGAAAAGATTTTTTATCGTTAAATAAAGGTTGCAGTTCTCACAAAATTTATAATACAAGGTTAGCACAAATGATTCATTCATTTTGAAAAAGCTATACTTTCAAACGTATTTTACGTACACACAGGAAAGATATATGAGAAGAACTACAAACTCACCATTTATACACCCTCTACATGTATGCAGTATGTGCCCCCTTTGATGACACGACACACGTCCAGACGATACTCGAGCTCATTCCATACATTTTGTAGCATTATTGTCCAGATGTTCGTTTTGTCAAATGATCAGATGTTCGGAATACAGTCAAAAGTCGTTAATCCGGACACCCATAATCCGTAATAATCTATAATCCGGACCTCAAAGCTACAAACTTTCTGCGCACGCGTCAACGCATAATGCGTTGACGCATGCGCGTAATACCTTTTCGCATGCGCGTAATACGTTTACGCATGCGCGTAATACCTTTTCGTATGCGCATATGCGTGTACGCATGCGCATAATACGTTTACGCATGCGCGTTTAATGTATAACGGAGAGTATAAGCTAAGCTAAAATTATCTAATTATCTATTTCAGTTAATGTTGCAGATAAGCTTTTTTTTTTTTTTTTTTTGTAAATTTTGATACCCTTTAGATCATAATTGCTCTTTATTTCATAAATTACGGTTTCATATTTTTAATTTTATAATTTATGCATGCCATCTTACCAGATTTAAACTGATGATCTATAATCCGGAAAAATCCATAATCCGAAGTCCCGACGAGTCCGGATTAAAGATTTTTGACTGTACCACAAAAAAACTATGTGGAAGATTTTGCGTCAACGGTTGCATTTCAAACCGTACCATGTCCTTCATCAATAAAAGCCGGAGTGTTACTCCCGTTGACTAGATTTTTGCGTCAGCATTGAAGGACGAAGAACTCGCCACCAAGATGATATTCAGTGATGAGGCAACGTTTCATTTATCCGGGAAACTTGGTGAAATAGTGAAAATAACTTGATGAGTTTGTGGTTCATTTCATATACTTTTCACGTGCGTACCCGTAATACTTTTGAGAATATAACCTTTTCAAAATGAATGAATCATTGATGCTAACCCTGTGTATTGACTCTTGTTAAAAGAATGCATATTTCGATTTAATATAATACGTTCTGCCTCTCTGCATCATGTATTTATTCTTATATGTTATTCTTTCGTGAAGTTCTTAAATAATCACTCCAGGTGAAGCGAAAAACTGATGTCCACGCAACTTATGACGGCAAAGGAAGGCGAAAGAAAGGTAGGATTGCTAGTACGCCCCCACCCGCCTGATCACAAAGTGATCTTATGGTCCAAAAAGGGGCGTCCCATTCACACCACAAGCGAAGGCAGCCAGCTACCCGGAGAGTCCCCCAACAAAAGTCAAAACGCCAGATTAATAAAAAAGAACAACTAATCCAAGATATTATACACGAAGCAATTTTAACATTTAACTTAAAATTCAAAGTTCCAAGAAACCAAGCCCGGTATTCCGAGTAACTAAAAATGTTAGTATAATCAACTAAAGAAAATAATAATTATACATCCAGCAAGGTTGCCATACAACTATATAATTATTATTATTTTTTTTTTAAATGGCTGGATTAACGACACAACAGGAAAGAAGAAAACCAAAAATAACTAAATCAAGAAAACTGTGTTAGTAAAAATGATAACATAAAATAAGGAAGGAAAACACACAACGAAAATATGACATACAGTCACACGTATCATCAAACACGACGAAAAAAACATCCTAAAATAAACACATTGAAAATAAAACGAACTTAGTTAAAAACCCCAATCGCATGTCTATTGCCATTAATAAAGGCCATCGATTCTCTTGCATATAATTTCAAATGTTTAAAATCAAAATTCAATAAATCAAAATGTATATCACTAAACCTACGTCTAATAAAATCAGTCAATTGGAAATCCACCACGAAGTTAATTTGGCATCACCCAAAACATTACAGTTTGGACATACGAGTAGATCATTATCTTGTACACTCTTGAAATCCCTTTAAATAATGAGAGATAATGAATAATGAAAGAGATAATAATGAAAGAAAATTTTCTTTAAATAATGAAAGAAAGTTGTTAAAAATACCTCAAGAAGAATAGAAGGATAATATTGATGTTCTCCCCAACGCAAGACGAAGATTGAAAACAATAAAAGTGCTAACAATAACTAAAAATCCCAGATTACTTAAGATTTGTGTCGCACGGTTTGAGTAAACTAATTCTCAAAGCAGTCTCAAAGCTTCGTATTTAATTCATAATCGAAAGGAGATCGCATTAACAGAACTCTGTCAAAAATCAAGCCTAAGAAATATGCTTTCTAGAAAATCCCAAAAATATTGTTACGTTTTTCTCTTCCTGACCCAAATGTTACGTTATTTTCTTCCTTCACGTTCGTACGGGGTTTGTAGATTTGTAATGAATAACGACGACACTTGATGAAGTATCGAAACACACTTTATTTAGCCAAATATTAATCAGGACAGCTCCAATAACACTTTTTACAGTCGTCGAAAATCTACTGTAAACACGCTGGAACAATCAGCGACACAGCCTTCACACTGTCAGGCAATAACGGTGGAGACAGCTTCCTGCAAAGCACCAGAGTACAGCTTCCGACTCTGTTTGGTCGTTCTCTCGGAACTCCACGTACTCTCGAGACTCTCCACGCGATGCAATGGACAATACACAAGAGTATAGCTCTCGACTCTCGACTCTCGACTCAGCACAGTCTAAGGCAAAACTCTACGATCCACTAATTCGCAATGCACTAAAAGACTCTCTCGATGCACTCGACGACAAACTCGGCGCTAGACTTCGAGACACTCGCTCAATGACTGACTATCAGCTCGCTAGACGAGGCACACACACTAACTGACTGCGAACCAGCAGGGTTTATATAGCTTTCGGCTTGTGTTCGAAAACATTCTGGGCTAAACCGGTAAGAATTCGTTTCAGAAGGTTCTCCATGCGTCCATAACATATCGCAGATTTTGTCGCCAAATGGGCGATTTATCGCCAAATGTGACAACCCTGCCTTCCCTTGTCACTTTATGGCAACCCTAAAACTGCTTTGCGGGGAAGTCATCTTACCGCGCCTGTACATTTCGTAACAATATGCTTTCTAGAAACTTTAATAGTGTCGCCAAATTAGCGACGTTTCGTATTTCGAAAGTAATCGCCCCAAATAATCAATAATCATCGAAAATCTCTGGTTCTTTTTGATCTATTTTCACAATTTTGAAGTTTATCTATCCCGTATTAGAATTACTGTAAAATAATAAATTAATTAAAAGCATATAAATACAATAAATATCTGCTAGTTAAAAAATTCATAAAAATTAAAAACTATATTATAAAGTATATATTAATTAATACAAAATATAAATTATATTATATAATATACTTGCAATTTTATTACAAAAAGTATTGTAAAATTAATATACATTGTACAAATGAATTAAGTAAATAAAATATATTTAAAATACATTTTAAAAGCATAAAAAAGGAAAAAAATAACTTTTTTAATTATGATCTTATACTTGGTCACATACTATGATAAAATTAAAATTGTGGCTCCTAACGAAGGTGGATTTTAATCAAATTCGTGAATGAGAAATTTAAGTAAATTAAATGTAACTGTCTTATATTTACAATTTGTATACAATCCCTTCTGTTTTTACTTCCTTTTACGAAGTAAAGGAAGTAGTGTAATCATGAAAAAATTCCCGGTAGCATATTTTAATGAAAATATCCATTTTGACCGTTATCGAATATAATTTAACGAAGTTTTTGCGTGACTTCTGTACGTAAGGACAGAATTAAGGACTCTTTTTTTCCCACACAAATTATAAAACTGATTTAAAATGTATTCGGAAGGGAATTTTTTTCGTGGCGTCTGTACATACGTATGTATGTATCTAGCATACTCAAAAACGAGTAGCCTCAGAGCGTTGAAATTTTGTATATATATGACTGCTATAACATGTTGTTGTGCACCTCCCTTTTAGGTTGCAATCAGTCGCATCCAAAGTGCACACACACATGTGCATAATTTATAATATGAAATCTTTTCATATACCATCTCCAAGGTACGCAAATTAAATTTAGAACCATCAATGAAAATATTTTTTAAAATTTAAATCAGTATTTTAAATAATTTTAACCCCTTGTTTAAAAATCTGGTAAGAAAAATCTTTAATCACTAAAATATCGAAACCAAAATTAAATTTTGAATATTAAAAATGTAGCTATTGTCATTGATCGCAGAATAATTGACTTATCAAGAGAATAATCCAATCTACCATCAATTAATAACAACTAAATTAAAAGAGTGTTTCATCTTACTTCCAAGTAAGCATCAAATTATTTGCTAGATTCAAACTAAATCCGAATACAGACATTAGTCCATTTAAGCCAAAAGAATCTTGTAAAACAAAATAGTCTTAAAATTAAAGTTCTCAATAACAACACAATTAATCTGAAAGAGATGCTTACTTTAGAAGACATATCCCTTACATTCTCATTTTCAAGTTAAAAAACAGAAGTAAACATATTAGAATATTAAAAGTTGATTCAAAATCATAAGAAGATAAAAAATGATACAATCTTAAAGTTCAAAACAAGTAGTTAATCATAAATTTAAAGATAAAACTAGTAAGTTAAAATTAACAAACTTGCCTTTCAAAAATTTTTAAAAACCAAATGGCTGAAAATTCAAGTATTAAGTTATGGAAGTAAAATTGCCGTTTTCTATTTAAGAAAGTTTAGCCTAAATTAGCGAGAAAATTGGAATTCTTCTTGGAGATAATACATAGAAAGTAGGCTGTCACTAAAATAGCATTAAAAGCTGCTATTTTTAATAAAAATATTTTGAGTTTTTTATATATTTTAACCTCGCCGCGAATAAATTGAATGAGAATTATATCCCTAATGAAATTCGAGGAAATA